CAGTTGTGCTGCTATTCTCACTATCCTTTTCCAAATTATTCCATCACCATTATCTTCAACTCACTGTCCCCTAGGATTCCCATCAGACCTTTTGAGTTGCTGTTGTGAATTTGATCTCACATAGATAATTCTTTTTTTTTGGATCTTAGATGATGGTTTGCAGAACAAATAGTTTCTCATTGAACAGTCAGTACACATATTGCCCTATGACAATGGTTAACAACCCTATGACATGTCAACACTGTCCCTTCTCAACCCTGGGTCCCCTATCACCAGCTTTCCTGTCCCTTCCTGCCTTCTAGTCCTTGTCCCTAGACTGCTGTGCCTCATTAGTCCTGTTTTGTCTTATGAGGCTGTCCAATCCGTGACTGAACAGTGAACTTCGGGAGGGGCTTCACCACTGAGCTAAAAGGGTGTCCGGGGGCCATTCTCTCGCGGTTTTCCCTGTCTGTCAGGCCAGTAAATCTGTTTTTTTTTTTTCTCCTGAGTTTGAATTCTGTTCTACATCCTTTTCCAGCTCTGTCCAGAACCCTCTGTTGTGATCCTGGTCAGAGCAGTCAGTGGTGGTAGCCAGGCACCATTTAGCTGTACTGGACTCAGTCTGGTGGAGGCCTTGGTAGCTGTGGTCCCTTACTCCTTTGGACTAATCTTTTCCTTGTATCTTGTTCCCTTCATTCTCCCTTGCTCCCGAAGGGGTGAGACCAGTGGAGTATCTTAGATGGCTGCTCACAGGCTTTTAAGACCCGAGATGCTACTCACCAAGGTAGAATGTAGAACACTATCTTTATAAACTGTGTTATGCCAGTTGAGCTAGATGTTCCCTGAGACTATGGTCCCTACAGCCCCTGACCAGCAATTCAGTCACTCAGGAGTTTGGAAGTGTCTATGGAGCTTCCATGACCTTTCCTTGTACAAGCTGTGCTGGCTTCCCCAGTATTGTGTACTGTCTTACCCTTCACCAAAGATACCACGTATCTATCATCTATTTAGTATTCCCTCCAAGCCCCCCATCCCTCATAACCAACATAGATTGTTACTTTTTGTGTGTAAACCTTTTCATGAGTTTTTCAGGTCTCATACAATATTTGTCCTTTTGTGATTGACTTATTTCACTCAGCATAATGTCCTCCAGTTTCATCCATGTTATGAGATGCTTCACAGATTCATTATTGTTCTTTATCGTTGCCATAGTACTATATTGTGTGTATCTACCATAGTTTGTTTATCCATTCATCTGTTGATGGGCATCTAGGTTGCTTCCATCTTTTTGCTATTGTGAACAATGCTGCCATGAACATGTGTGTGTGTCTTAAGCTAGGTTCTCTAGAGAAGCAAAACCAGTAAAGTGTATAAATATATATATAGAGAGAGATTATATCAAGGAAACAGCTCACGAGATTGTAGAGGCTAGAATGTCCCAAGTCTGTGGATCAGGGTAGAGGCCTCTCCCAAGTCACACAGCTGTAGAAGCTGGCAAGCCCAAGATCGGCAGGTCAGAAAGCACGGCTCCCGCTCACAGGCTGTGCAGATCGACAAATCCAAGGTTCAGCAGATAAGCTAACAGCTCAAGCCCCAGGAACGGGAGATGAGACAACAGGAAATAGACGCAGGATCCAGAGAGAGCAAAAAAGGCAGAACGCCTGCTTAAATTCAGATGCGGGCCACACCCCCAAGGTGACTCCCTTTCATCTGATTGGCTACTCACAGTATATTCAATCATGAGAGTGATTACATTAAAACACTGAGAATCATGGCCCAGCCAAGTTGACACACAATCTTAACCATCACAGTGTGCATACGTCTATTCATGTGATGACTCTTATTTCTCTTGAATATATTCCTAGGAGTGGGATTGCTGAATCATATATTATTTCTATTTCTAGCTTTCTAAGGAAGCATCATATCATTTTCCAAAATGGTTGTATCATTATGCATTCCCACCAGCAGTGCATAAGAGTCTCAATCTCCCAGCAGCTTCTCCAACATTTGTTATTTCCAGTGGTTTTGATTCGTGCCTGTGATGCTGGAGTGAGATGGTATCTCAGTGTAGTTTTAATCTGCATTTCTCTAATGGCTACTGAACGTGAACATTTCCTCATGTGTCTGTTGGCCGCTTGAATGTCTTTTTTTTTTTTTAATTTTTTTTATTGTACTTTAGTTGAAGGTTTACAGAACAAATAGTTTCTCATTAAACAGTCAGTACACATATTGTTCTATGACATTGGTTAACAA